TATAATAATCGAAGGATAAGTTAAACAATTAGATGTAAAAAATTAAATTACACTAATATTATAGTGGAGGAGGGTCTTATGATGAAAGGGTAGTAAAATTGGAAAATGGATAGAGTTGGATAATGAGTTTTGATTAGGCGCTGAGATAACTTTATAAGGTGAAACATAAATATTGAATAATAATGGGAAATGGATATTATATATAAAAAGGATGTAAATTAATGAATCGAAGTTTTAGTGTTGGTGGATTTTATGATTTAGGTAGTGAGATAAATAAGGTTAAATCGGAAAGAAGGTTGGTAGATGGGATATTTTGTATAGGAAATTAAATAAATTTGAAATAATGTAAAATACTAAATGAATCATATTTATATTGCTGGTTGATCTTATAATAAAGAAGGTAATGTAATAAAGGGCGGGAAATGGACTGAACTGGGTAGTGGATCTAAATAGCATTCTCAAATCCATCATTTGGCGAATATAAAAATAGCATGAAAGTTGGTAGATAGGATAGTGTATTTTTTAGAATAGTTTTGGAAACAATATGGTGTAAATTAAAATAAAGTGAATTTTTAGTGGTGATGGGTCATACGATGAACTGGGATCAGGAATGAATTAGTATTTTGGATTGATTTATGTGACTATTATTTGATTATTCATAATTAACTTATAGTGGAGAATACAAAAATGGTTCAAAATTGGAAAATGGGATATTTTATTGAAGGAATTAAATAAGAATTAATGTAAAAAGTCATTACAATAAGAATTCTATGGGGGGTTGATAATATACTTCTGGAGTAGATGGCATAACAATGGAAGATGGACTTAAGTGCATTTTGAGTGTTCTTTGGATTTGTAATTCACTTGTATTGGAGAAAACAAAAATAGCAAAAATGTTGGTAGATGGAATACTTGGGGATAAGAGGTAGTATTGTAATCTAAAAATTTTTAGGGGTGGTGGACAGTATTCAGAAGTAGGAGATGGATTTAAGATTGGGAAATGGATTGAATTGAGTGATGAATTAAATTAATTTGAGTATATCTCTTTCGCAGTAGAATGCAAGAAGGATAAAAAAGTTGGTAAATGAGATATTTGGTGTAAGGATTATGAAACAAAATGAATAAATATATGTATAAGATGAGCATAAATCAAGTGGGGCAGATTCTATAATAATAATGGTAAGGGGATGAAAATTGGAAGTTGATCGAGTTATGTGCAGTTTTTAAGAAAAATAAAAGGTTTTCAAAAGATATCACTAACAATGGAGAATATAAAAAGGATAGACAAGTTGGCAAATGATATATTATGTAGAAAGA